GCCGAGCCTGCTCCGGCCCCGCGCCGAGGAGGCACCAAGATGGCGGTGCGCTGAGGGGGTGGAGAGCGGGAGGTGCCATGCCCCGCCCCAGCGGGGGGAGTCGCGGGCGCTGACGGCGGGAGAGCTCTGGCTCGGCCTGCGGTAGGAGGGCGGAGAGCCGCGATACGCACTGGGCTGAGAGAGGGAACAACGGAAAGGGAGAATGGAGAAAGGAGACAGTGTGAAAAAAGCGGCCTTCCCTCCTCCTCTTCCCGGAGATGGTCTCGCCCAGTCGGCGTGACGCACCAGCCAGGGCCACGCCCAGTATCGAACCGGCCAATCAGCTGCGAGGCGGCTGGAATTATGAATGGGCTGTTACACACGTCACGCGCCGCCGCTTAAAGGGCCCGCGGCTGCGGGGATCCCGCCGGGACCCCTCCGGCACCGGTCCTGAGAGCTGGAGGTACCCGAGAAGGGACCGCTGCAACCTCCGCACCCCCACCCACCCTCCCCTCCCACCGCCAATTCACCCCTGCTCCTCCCACGCCCTCAGAGCCACAGAGAACGTTTACCAAACGATAGTGAAGTTTCTTAATTAAAAAGGCAAAATAAATCTACACTGCTGTACATATACACATTACTTACATTACAAAATACCACAGAAATATTTGCTGTGTCAGCTATGCTCTGCTCATTTCCTTTTCTCCCTCAAGAGCTGCTTCTTTTGGGTCAAACATCAGTAAAACCTGTGAGATTTTACAGAGACCCTGGATACCATACTCTGCGTCCACACCTCAAACAGTGACASTGTGTGGAACAGGGTCCATGTCATTCTACCAAATTCCACGGAATTACCTCACATGTGGATTGGTTCTGCTTTGGATTTTAAGGATTAACAAAAATAAGTCTTCAGCTCTGGCATAGGARGAAGCAGTGACCACCCAGCATGATTTGGTGACAATATACAAAAGCGATCCCAGTCAGGGTGAGGAGAGAGAAGAAGCTCGGCAGCAGGTTAAAAATGGAATACAAAGGCTCATGAGGTCTCCAGCAAGGCCCCGTTCATTCCAAACTCAGAGCCCCATGTCCTAAATGCTCCGAGGGCGCAGCACAGGGATCTGGTGCCTCTCTGGGAGCTTAGAAGTGTTTCCTGGAGAGCTCTCACCTTTGGGAATAAATGTCCATTGAACTTCTGCCCAGGGGCAGAAGGAGGACGAGTTTCACCTCTGCATGAAGTTTTTTTCCAAGGCAGCAGGAGTCCTCTGCAGGGAGTGGATATTGCGCTTCACCCGCTCCTCCAGGGTGGAGGTGGAGGCACTCTCCAGTTTCAAACGGCTGCAGGGAACAGAACCAGGAGAGAAATCAGAACTTGGAGACTGAAGGAAGGCAGGTWTAGATTAGAGATTGGGTATTGAGAAGGAATTCTTCCATGGGAGGGTGGGGAGGGGTTGGAATGGGTTTCCCAGAGAAGCTGTGGCTGGCCCTGGATCCCTGGAAGTGCCCCAGGCCAGGTGGGACAGGGCTTAGAGCACCCTGGGATCATGGGAGGTGTCGCTGCCCATGGAACTGGATGAGCTTTAAAGTCCCTTTCAACACCAACTATTCCAGGATTCTGTGATTGATTCTGTGATCCCAGCTCTGGGCAGCTCCAGGGCTTTGCCTGTCATGAGCACAARGGATAAAGTTGCCACCTGTGTTCAGAAGTGGTTTTATTGTCAAACAGAGGTTTCAGTCCCACAGATTCACAGGCCTCAAACTGCTGCAAGCTCCCAGAACCAGAGAATTCCCACAAATCTGCCTGTAAAACACTCCCAGGGTGGCAAAACATCACCAAAGGCTCAGGTTGGGTCTGACTCCCAATCTCAGAAATAACCATCTATTTTAGGTAAGGGGAAAATTTGAGAATAGCAGATGTCACCACTTCTGATGCAAGATGCAGGGAAGATGGATCTTATTCCATGATCTGAAACATCCCAGATGCTGAGGCCATCCCTCAGAAGTAGACTGCCCTTGGAAGAGAAGGAGGTAAAAGACTCACTGGAAGAACTTCCCGTCTCTGGCGTCGAGCTTCTCCAGCTCCCGCTCCAGCTCCTCCTCCTTGCGGTGCTTCCTGAGGTTGTTTGCTCTCTCCTCTTCCCTCCACTTGGCATTTTCCATCATTTCCTGCCGTTTTTGCTCCAGTTCCTCCGGGGAGAGCTTTCTGTTCAGGTGAGAAATGCTCCCACTGAACCAACAGCACGTTGGGTCCCGTTCTCCTTACCTTCCACTCTTCAGATAGTGGAATTGTTCAGGTTGGAAAAGACCTTTGAGATCACTGAGTCCAACCACCAAAGATAATTCTCAATCCCCCAAATTAGGGGGATTTAACATGGTTTTGCATTTGGCAGCCAATCTGAAAAGCTTGTAAGGACTTTTCTAAATATTTCACTTCGCCATGTCTGCTCTTTCCTCCCTCCTTGGGTTTAACTGACCCACAGGATGCTGCTGTCAGGGTCCTCTTTGCCTGACGGCAGTGAAATAAAATCTCCTAATTAACACTTCACGTGACAAAGAATTCCCATTCCTGCCATGCAGAACCTGCACATGTGGATTGGTTTGGGAAGGTGTCCAAGGCTCCAACCAAGCCCAGGAGCACCAGAGGGAGGACTTGGGGACACCCAGTCTGATTTTCTGGACATTTCACCTGTCCCACTCTATTGCACAAAGGAAAATCTGATTCCCAGGTRTTTCTCACCCAGTTGCACTCCAGTACCAGGACCCCACTGACCTGGTGTAACCTGGGGGGTGCTGGCGCCGGTAGCTCTTCTTGGGTGAAGGGCTCCTGGCTCTGCCCTTCTCCTCCCGACTGCTGTGTCTGCAACCCCAAAACATCTYTGATTAGCACAAAAAATCCACACATTATCCCATTTATAAACTTCCCCTGGGATTTTTAATACATCCTGAAGCCATGTCCCACAGCTGCAGAGCTGTTACCTGTTCACTCTGAAAACAAATCCTAAGGACTCTCAGTAAACCTTAAATTTACTGTTGGCTGTTGTAATGATTTCATCAGCAAATGACAAATACCTGCTGTTATCTGCTTTTAACAAAAATAACTTAACAGCTCTGAATGATCAGTTTGAAGAGAACTGGGAGTTCAAATAAAGCTGTCACAAGTAACACCTGCAGGGTGTGACTGGACAGGGTGTCCCCAATAAAAAGCGGGAGATGGGATAACAGGGATTTGATTCCAGGGAATTCCTCCCCCAAGCCTGTGGTTTCCTTCGCCCAGGTGACCCCTACTCACTGTTTGCTGTGTTTGGAAGGAGATCCTGAGCCCTTCTCGGAATTCCTCCTGCTGGAATGTCTGTGGGGAGAGCGGGATGGGCTCTGGGAGCGATCCCGGTGCCTGTGGGGGGCCCTGTCCTGGCTGTGGGAGCCCCGGGAGCGGTGGCTCTGCTCAGAGTCTCTCACCTGGAATTCAGAGGGAGCTGGTGAGAATGGAATGATGAAAGGAAGCCTCAGACAGGGCAAGTGGAGGTGGCTGGGGAAGGAATTCCTCCCTGGGAAGGTGAGGAGAGGCTGGGATAGAATTTCCAGGATACCTGCGGATGCCCCTGGATCCCTGGAAGTATCCAAGGCCAGGTTGGACATTGGGGTTTGGAACAGCCCGGAACAGTGGGAGGTGTCGCTGCTCATAGCAGGGATGGCACTGGATGGGTTTTAATATCCCTTCCCACCTGTTCCATGATTCCCTGGGTAATGAAGTGCATCTTAGCAAACTTTATCTCAAATTCTAATTAAAAGTCCCACYAAGCTTTGAATGATCTTAATTTAAAGGCTTAGTTAGCTCCAAATTGAATCCAAAATCTATTCAATCATGTTCTCCTCATAATCCTCCTCCAGCTGGTGCAGCAGATTCCCAAAACTCTTCCTTTTCCCTAACTCAGGGCACTGAGGGTGTGATCCACACGAACCTGTAAACCATATCCTGGGATTTTGGGAGGAGTAGGCTTCCAGGAAGAATTGTCCACCCTCCTCTGAGACCTAAAAAGAACACCAAAATCTTTTTGAAGYAGGTGAATTGCGAGAATACACCCAATTTTTACCATTAGATTCTTTCTATGACACATTAACGATGCAAAGCCAACAAAACAACAACACAGAAATACTCAAGCCAATTACAAGCATTAATTAGAAAGAGAAGGCTCAAACAGAAGTAGAAAAACAACCAGAAATTTAGGTGATTTTTCTCTAAAATTTAAAAACTCACTTATTTCTGCTTCTCTCCTCCTCACTGCTCGAGCTTTCGCTACTGGAACTGTGCCGCCGATGCTTCTTGTGCTTCTTCTTCTTCTCCTTCTTCTTCTTCCTCTCCTTTTTTTCCAAACTGTTCTGCAGCTGCAAAGCAAAACATTTCCCTGGCATCGTCCTTGTCCTCAGAATCACAGAGAAAAGCAGAGTTTTCTGTGGAAAAGCTCCTGGGTTAAAACCCGAGCCATTTAACAACATTTTCTGTCATAATTGAGGAGTGTAAGGCAAAAAATAGAATTCAGCTTTTCATCCTAAATAATCAAAATTCTGATTCATGTTCCTCCCCCTGGTTCAGGGGACCCTGGCACACACCTACCAATGCTTTGATTTTCTTCATTTTAACTGGATTGTTCAAAACTTCTCTTTTCTTTTCCTCCTCCCTCTTCCTAACGGAGGAAAAAATATAAAATCAGCATTTTTAAACTGAAAACATCACATTTTCATGGAGAGCATCAACCAAGTACACAACAGAAATACTTTTATAAAAATGGAAAGACATTTAGAAAAGTATAAATTTATATACTACTTATGCATATAGACATTTATATACTGTAAAATGTATAAAATGTATAAATTTAAAAATGTAAGAGTATTTTCTCTCTTTAAAGAAAAATATCTTTATAAAAATGCAGAGATCTAAATAAAAGTTTATAGCAATTTATAAATTAGAGGCCAGCTATAAAATGCATCTATTTAAAGACATTTTAAAAAAAGTCTTTGCACTGCYTAGAACACAGATTTAAAGACATAAAGCAGCACCTTTACTCTGTTAACAAGAGAAACATCTTCACAAAAATCCAGAGACATTTATAAAAATTACTTTTGTAAATTTCAATTTATAACTTTAAAACTTCACCAATAAAATGTATCAATGAAAGACAAGTATAAAACATCTTTACACATTTATAAACTCAATCCCACAGCYGCTTCCAGCCACCTGATCATGAAGAGCGGATCCTCCCGGATTTTGTTGGCCATGTCCAGCACAGAGTTGGCCCCGGATTTGGCAAAGATGGAGCCCGGCAGCAGCCCGGTGTCACTGGAGCAGCCGGCATCTCTGTCCTCCACCTTGTCCAGGATGAACTTGTCCACGGGGCGCCCCATCAGGTATTCCTCCCTGTTCACCATGCCCCCAGGGCCCTGGTACATCCACTCCAACTTCTCCTCCCTTTTCCTGTTTTGACAAAACTTCTTTTCATCCAGAGTTTCATTTTAAAGGCTCAGGGAGGTGACTGGGAAAGTTTTCGTGTTGGAGCGAGGTCAGAGGAGGACCTAAGGTGGGCTGAGAGGGATGGGAGTAAAGGCTGGGAGAGTTGGAATTGCTCAGCCTGGAGAAGGGCTTGGGGTGGACTCACTGTGGCATCCCAGTGCCTGAAGGGGCTGCAGGGAAGATGGAGAGGGAATGTTTCCAAGGGATGGAGTGATGGGGTAAAGGGGAATGGGTTTGAACTGCGAGAGGGCAGGGTTAGATGGGATTTTGGGAAGGAACTCCTCCCTGTGAGGGTGGGGAGTGGCTGGGATGGAATTCCCAGAGAAGCTGTGGCCGCCCCTGGATCCCACTACGTTGGAAGTGTCTGGGATAGTGGGAAGTGTCCCCGCCATGGCAGGGGTTGCACTGAATGGGCTTTAAGGTCCCTCCAACCCAAACCATTCCATGGCCACCAGAACCATTGACCCCATGGCTCTCCCAGGGGCACAGGCAGCACCACCCCAGGCAATAGCAACCCCAGAGCAGGGCCAGGGCTGGGTGACCCCTGTGCTGTCCCCCTGTGCTGCTGTACTGCCCCCATGCTGCCCCTGTGCCATTCCTGTATTGTCCTCCTTGCGGTCCCTGCACCATCCCCTGTGCTCCTGTGCTGTCCCCATCCCCTCCCTCACCGCACGGTGCCCATGTCCTCAGCRTAGCGCTGCATCTCCTCCCGTGCCCGCTCCTCCTGCAGCTCCCGCTGCAGCTCCTCGATCTTCTTTCTCTCGGCCTCATGCTTCTGCTCCGCCTTCCACACCTTCTCCACATTGCGCAGCGTCTGCGGGTGCCAGCTCTTCTTCAGGTTCTGCCAGAGGGGGAACAGATCGGATTGTCACCGGGAATGTCACTGCAGGGCCACGGGGCTGGGCCCAGCCCTGCCATGCTCGGATCTGGATCTGAAGAACAGGACACGCCGCTCCTGCTGGCCCTGGGGAGTAGCCTCAGAGCCTGGGCAATCTGCACATCCCTGCCCTGCACCTCAGCACCCCTGGATCTCTCTCAGACCACTCTCACCCTCCCACGACCCCTTTTAACCCCCCCTCAGACCCCTCTCAGCCCCCCTCAAGCCCTCATCTCAGACCTCCCAAGCTCTCTCACACTCCCGGGTCTCTTCAGCACCCACAGACCCCACTCAGTCTCCCCTCAGCGCCCTCTGTCCCCCTCGGCCCTCTCTCTCCTCGCCATTCAGACCCACTCAGCTACACCACGTACCCTTCAGACGCCCCCGACCCCTCTCACCTCTCCAGTTCCCCTCAGCCCCCTCGACCCCTCTCACGTTCCCCCTGCCCCTCTCCCTCGACGTCCACTTCCCCGGTCCCCTTCAGGCTCCCCCACCCTCTCTCACCCCCCGAGTAAGATCCTCTGGTGGGCTCACCCTAGACCACCAGACCCCTCTCATCCCTCTCCCGGCCTCTCTCAGCCGCCCCGTCCCCCTTCACACTCCTCAGTGCCCTCTCGTCCCCCTCCCGCCTCCCCTCAGCCCCTCTGACCCCCTTCATGCTCCCCCAGACCCTCTCAGCACCCCCGGTTCCCTTCATTCCGCTCTCACAGCCCTGCTCCCGGTTCCCTTCATTCCNCCCGGTTCCCTTCATTCCGCTCTCACAGCCCTGCTCCCGGTTCCCTTCATTCCGCTCTCACAGCCCTGCTCCCGGTTCCCTTCATTCCCCTCTCACAGCCCTGCTCCCGGTTCCCTTCATTCCCCTCTCACAGCCCTGCTCCCGGTTCCCTTCATTCCGCTCTCACAGCCCTGCTCCCGGTTCCCTTCACTCCCCTCTCACAGCCCTGCTCCCGGTTCCCTTCACTCCCCTCTCACAGCCCTGCTCCCGGTTCCCCTCACCAGGTCTCCCCCACCCATGGCGGCTGCCAGGCAAGCGCGTCCCCGCCGCTACCGGAACAGGAAGTGCGCCATCGCTCCGCGCCCCCGCTCTTTGTGCGTGGTTCCGCCTCAGGGCATCACTTCCGCCGCGCCGCGGCGGGGCCGGGAAGATGGTGGCRCTCGGAACGGGCGGTGCGAGAGGAGGAGGGAGAGAAAGAGCCGGCGGGGAGACCCCTCAGTCCCGAGCCTGGTGGTGTTTTCATTGCGTTCGTGGAATACAGGRGGGTTTGGGTAGGAAGGGACCTCAAAGCTCATCCAGTCCCACCCCTTGCTATGGACAAGGACRCCTTCCACTATCCCAGGTTGTTCCAAGTCTCGTCCAACCTGGCTYTGGACACCTCCAGGGAATTAAGACAAAATCTGGGCCCGTTTCAAACGAGGCTGGTTGCAGCAATCTCAAAGAAACTCGTGGAAATTACGAAGTGAGTAATTGCAGAAACACCTAAGGCCATGGGAGCCAAGTCTGTCAGGTTGTTCTCATTACAGATTTAATGCGCGTAGCGGACGGCCGGTGCTGCTGGCTCAGACTTTTATTGCCAAAATGCTTCGGCCCAGAGTTCAGTGATGCACAACTTTCTCCGGCTCAGAGCCCGGGAGGTTCTGTCACCTCCGGTGGTGCCTCGGGTGGGTTAGAACCTGTGACCTTCCAGTCTGGGGTGGGGTAGAAACGAGGGTCTGCTGTGCTGGGAAGGCTCAGAGCAGGCGATTTTCCAGGACAGAGCTGGTGATCCTCCTTGTCCCTTCTCCGGGACAGAAGTGGTGATCTCCCAGTTCGGAGCTTGTGGTCTCCCAGGACACAACGGTGACTTCCCGGTGGGAGGGAGGTTGGGTTCGAACCCGAGACCTCGCGGTCCGCAGCCCGCCGCGCTGCCCCCGAGCCACGCTTCCCGCTGCGCCCCGCCCCTTTCCCGCGCCGGGGGCGTGGCTCAGGGGTAGCGCTGCTGCCTGCGGGGTTCTGGGTCACGCGTTCGAGCCCCGCCGGCACCCGGACAATGATGGCCTTGTCATCTCAGCCACCCAATTGGACTGGTTTGGGCGTCACAGCCCGGGGGAAACAGCTCAGCACAGCTCGTGACTTTCCAGAAACACATTAAACACATAATTCACTGCTTAAATGAAGGGTGGTTACTCCCAGCAGGAAAAACTCTAGCAGCAGCTGTTGAATTGAGCTCCTTGGTGTGGCTGTGCAGAACTCAGGAGAGCAGAGGGGAACACAGCAAAGTGGGATTTCAGGGTTGGCAAAAGATCACCCAAGTGATTACCAACACCTCAGCAAGGTAAGAAAGGTTTTCCATGGTCAGTCTGTGACAAGTTCTGGARGAAAAATGGGTGAAAAAAGCAGAAGAGGGGGCACCTGGAGTTGAACCAGGGACCTCTTGATCTGCAGTCAAATGCTCTACCACTGAGCTATACCCCCTAGAACACTTCCTGTAGCAGAGAAATTGAAAGATATTTATTGGGAAAGAAAAAAAGTTTTGCAGTACAGGGATTGGATCCCTTTCCTTGACAGTTCCCTGTGCCCTTTCGCATGCCTGCCAAAGACAGAGGGAGTTAAATGTGATAAATGATGGTAAAAATGACAAACTATGGTAGGTCTGATTCCATGCCRAGAATCAAGGACAGAGGAAAGCACATGCAGACAATGAGGGGTTCTCACCCAGAGCACAACCGCTGCACCTCCCCAACACTCAGGGCCTCAGCTCTGTGGGTTCTGGAGCTCAGAACCAACACTGAGTGCACAGAACAAGGTCCACAGGTCCAGCAAGAGCTCTCCATGKTTTTTTTCTGTGGCATATTTTGGCAAAAGGAAGGTGGAAGGAGGAAAGAAAGGGGGCACCTGGAGTTGAACCAGGGACCTCTTGATCTGCAGTCAAATGCTCTGCCACTGAGCTATACCCCCTGACATGTTCATATTGCTTTCTAGAGACTCAGGTTTTTCTGTCTGTGGGTTGGATTCCTTCACTTGTCAGGCCCCTGTACCTGCCAAAGGTTGTGCAGGGAGTTAAACATGATTAATAATGGAAATTATGATAAAATCTGGGAATTATGATAAAATCTAGGAAATGGTGGCTACAGAGAGTTAAGAACAGAGAAAGGCACACACAGACAGCGAGTGGTACTCAGACCACAACRCCTGCACTTTTCTAGGGCCGTGCTACCTTCAAAGTCAATCCCACTCCACATTCCCCACCCAGCACAAGCTCACACATCCCACAGGAGCTTCCCAACATTTCCCTGAATGATTTGGACAGAAGGAAGAGGTAAAGAAAAAGAGAAAGGGGGCACCTGGAGTTGAACCAGGGACCTCTTGATCTGCAGTCAAATGCTCTRCCACTGAGCTATACCCCCTAAGGCAGTCTAGGAACATTTAAAAACATTTCTGTGGAAAGGGACAAGGTTTTCTGTCCATGGGCTGGATCCCATTAATTGACAGCTCTCTGTGCACTTCGATGTGCCTGTCAAAGTGAGTGAAATGCCATAAATTAGGAGAAGAATGACTACAGAGAAAAACACACGCAAACATGGAGTGGTTATTGCCCAGAGCAAAACCCCTGCACTTCCCCAGCACTCAGAGCCCAAATCCTTTGAAGCTCTGAACCAGCACTAAGGGTACAGAACAAATTCACAAGATCCAACTGGCCCTCTCCTTCTTTCCAGGATGGATTTTGGCAATAGGAAGGCTGAAAGAAGGGGAAAAGAGGGGGCACCTGGAGTTGAATCAGGGACCTCTTGATCTGCAGTCAAATGCTCTGCCACTGAGCTATACCCCCTGTGTGGTCTGTGTTACCTCCCCAGCAAAAAAACCTTGGAAGGATGTACTTCCCAATTCCCTGAGATCTCTGTTCCAGAGGAATCGTCTGCTGCAGAATATGCAGGGCTGCAGAGCAACAGCAGGACATTGAGTCACTGCACTCCTACTCAGGGCCACATGACCTTGGCCCAGTTCCTCCCCACCTTATTTCCTTTCTCCTTTCCTTTCCTTTCCTTTCCTTTCCTTTCCTTTCCTTTCCTTTCCTTTCCTTTCCTTTCCTTTCCTTTCCTTTCCTTTCCTTTCCTTTCCTT